CTGATTGGATTCCAACTTTTCTACGCCCTCACCTTCTCCCGAGTGCCCGCGTGCTCCCTCCGGAACCCACGCCGCCCAGCCAGGTACACCGCAGCTCGGCGCGAGTCCCTGTGGTTGCGAGCCAGGGCTAGGAGGGGCGGAAGCGAAGAGAAAAGGGCCCATTTCAAAAACTTTTTAGACTGTTGAGTCGCTCGGTGGAATCATCCCACGCACGCAGGCGGCTAGGGACTTGGCAGTTGGCATGTTCCCGGTACCCGATAGAAGCGATAACCTTTTGCTTCTAGGAAGTTCGAAGGGGTTGCAGACTGCCTCCCACAGACCCAGTTCAGCCCCTGCTGTTTCTGTAAATGGTTTCCTTGGAACCCCCTCATTCCCATTCCTTTGGTAGCAAAAGTCTATATAGTGTTATCTAGGGCTGCTTTTAAAGTGTACGAGCTTAGTTGTGTAGGGGTGACGAGATCCTATGGCCCAAAATGTCTGAAGTACTTATTATCTGCCCCTTTTCAGAAAAGTTTCAGAACTTTTAGTCTAAGTCATCTTGGTCTAGATCATCTTAATTGACCAGTATCTCGTCTATGTCAGGAGAGTGATCTCATGGTGTAGTCTGACTTCTCAATTATTTGGGGAGTGAGTCTCCTCTTTAAGCCCTAACCCATCCTGACCTCACTTGGTCCACACAGTGCCCAAGGCCCCACTGCGCATCTGCTCTAGTTTTTGCCCCTAACCCTGGAAACCTTAGTAAAGCATACATCTTATCATGGTTATCCGGGGCTCATTAAACTATTCCCTTTTGTAGTTGAAATTTTTTCCCAGAGCAACCTTTGGACTCTTATCATTTTGCCAGTTCCTTTATAAAGGTATCTAGAAAAAGCTTAAACTTGAGAAGGAGTTGATTAGTCCATTTTCTTAAGTAACAAAATATATTTCAACTGGAGTCTTCTGGGGCAAAATGTACGGATCTGAAAGGCCAGTGGAGGGTTTGGGGAAAAGCCAGTGGGTGGGACTGCTCAATAAAGTTGTTACCCAGTGATTTCCTCACTGAGGGGGAAAAAAAAATATCAAGAAGAGAAATATAAGTCTGGCCAGTATCTTTTTGCCAATTCTGCATTTACTCTAAAATTTTTGGTGGAAAATAAACAGGAACTTTACACAAAGTAAGTGATAAATAGATATTTGGCCAATGAATTAAACATTTACGAACCAGTGTTACTTTCAGGACAAAAAGGAGTAAATATCTGAAAATAAATGTGTCTGGAAATAGCATTTCCTTCCTTCCACTATTCCTGTCAAAATATAAACTAACCAATAAAAGAAAAAGTTGTTACCTGTACATGAGACTGACATATTTAGGGGTCCAGATGCTTACCCGAGTATGGTACAATATGCAGTATTCAGACAGAGCTAAAATAATAAAACGATTCATTTCTACCTGAAAGTTTAAGTATTCAGTTAGATAAATAGGATATAACACAATTATCTTAAAATAAAAAAGTTGTTTGGATTTGGGAGATAGTGTGAATATTGTCTCTTAGAACAGAAGTGTACAGACAACTCAGACTGAAGGTGGTTTGCAGAAAAAGAAAAGGGCATTATTGTATCAGCCAGGAAGCTGCGACTTCACCTAATTTACTAAAGTTTAATATTTCAGCACAGCTGGGCTCAAGGCAAAAGCAGAGAAGTTAAGCTTGTGCTGGGCTCCCTAAACATCCTTGCTGCAAATGAAGTTACTTTTTATCAAGCCTGTGGCTATCAGCAGGGGATTCACAAAAGCCTGTTTTAATTGGAAAGCCAAGTGTAAATTTGGGAATTCTGAACCAACTGTTAAAATTTGACAGGAAGGAACTGTACCTACCATAAGCTTTGTAATTGACAATACGGGTTATCAAAATATGAATTATCCTGCTTATTGTTGAGAAATAAAAGAACCTGACAAAAACAGGATTCCTTTGCACTATCAATCAGAGCACCAGTCCTGGAAAAGTGTGCTTTTGCTAACTTCACGTTAGCATGTTTGTCCAGCAAGCCCAAAGATCTGTGCCACACAATAATGCGGACTTTGCTAAGACTTAGAAACAAAACAGATACTCAGGTACTGTGCAAAAAGCTGCAGCTGATGCAGGAAACTGCCTCTCAGGGCCAGGCTCCTGAGCATTTGTCTGTCACTCTTTCATTTTGCCTTTGTTATACTTTATTTATCATCATAAACATCCCTGTTTTCATAGAATAACTTTTTTTAAAAGTGGCTGGGTCATTTTGACGTATAAAAACTGTCCAAGTAATTAAAATTCTTCCTGGATATTGTAGTTTCTCATTTTTCAGTGTAAGATTTTAAACATTTCTATATGCATGAATGTATGAAGAAAAAGATCAGATATCAACGGTTATAATAGTTATTTGTGGACAACAGCGGGGACTGTCGGTATAGAGGAAAGGTAGAAGTTCTGTCAGAAAGAGGAATTGATGAACCAAAGAGCTGCTTCCTTCATTTGGATAATATATTTACTCTCTAGAAAGAATGGTTGCCACTGTCTCCAGACCACTTGACTGGTTTTAGAGTTCTGTAAAGGACTACGGGACAATACTACATTTATAAATAGTACATTATTCCCTGGGAGAAAAAATTCATAGTGATATTATAACCATGGCTGCAGATTTTCATTAAGTCATAAGATAGAAATAAAAGTGTAAATAACTTCAAGAAGTCATGGGGGTATGTTTTCCAATGTGTTTGATTAAAGGTCTTTGCTTATGCTCACTGCTAATTGAATATGAAAAATCGAAACAAGTTCATGTATAAAGTCTTTTAACCTAAAAGATACAATACCTAGTGAATAACAAAATCATTTTGAAGGAAAAAAAGAGAAACAGAGACATCACATTACCTGACTTGGAAACTTTAAAACAACTAATGGTATTAAAAACAATATGGTAGTGGCACAAAAGTTGATTCATGGATCAGTGGGATAAAATGAAAAGCCTAAAAATAAATCCACATACATGTCAGTATTAATCTATGATAAATAGCTAAAACCATATAGTGGAGAAAGGAGTGTCTTTATTAAATGATGCTGGGAAAACTGGAAGATCACACATTTAAAAAAAAAGTTGAATCACTTTTTGACTACAAGCACAAACATAAATGCCAAGTGAACTAAAGATTTAGTTATAACACCTGAAATAAGAAAATATTTAAAAGACAAAATTTGTGATAGTTTCAATGACAGCAATAATAAATATATTTTAGTAGACTTGACCTCTGTGGAAAGGGAAATAAAAATAAACAATTTGGATTATATCAAGTTAAAAAAATTTTTACCTGGCAATAAACATACAGATATATGTGTGTGCATACATTTATATGTGTGTGTACATATAATCAACAAGAAGTTAAAAGCCAAGAAATATAAAAATATTACACAGCTGAACAACAGAAAAACAGCCTAACCAATTAATTAACGAGCAACAAATGTGAACTGATAAACCAATACACAATAGACCAAAGAGAGTAGCCAGGAGGTAAATAAATATGTGAAACAAGCTCTTCATCACTTCCAACAAGAGAGATGCAGGTAAAAACCATAAAGAGATACCATCTCACACCCATCAGAGTGGCAAGATTAAAAAACAAAACAAAACAAAGCAAAAAAACCTCACTAATGGCATAGATTAAAAAAAGAAAATCCTTAACAAGTGCTGGAAAGGATATGGAGAAAGAGGGCCCCTATTACTCTTGTCAAATAGTGCAGCCATTAAGGAATGTGATCTTGATTCACCTGAAGAAAACTAAAAATGGAAATACTAGCGGTTCCATTCTTGGGCATCTATCCAAAGACCATAAAACCATTAATGCAAAAAAATTATGTGCTATGAAATGTTTGCTGCACCACTGTTTATAATAGCTAGGACAGGGAAACAGCCAAAATGCCCAACATTAGATGATTGGTCAAGAAGGCATGGCATGGGCTCTCCCTGGAGACACAACAGGTTAGTTAACACACCGCATTATGAAGCTCTCCCAAGGCACTGCAGCGTGAGCTCGATCCCTTGCCAGGGAGCAGACCCAAATGGCACAGCAGACCTCTCCTGACCCGCCCGCTGCTCCCTCAGCAGTGTATTTCAGTCGATCTGCCTGTCCTGCACCCCACTCTGTCTCTGGTGAATCTTCTCACCCACCACACCTCTGGCCTGTACCCCAGTTCTGTAAACATAAATAAAACTTAAAAAAAAAAAGGGAAAGGCATGGCATATCCATACTATAGAGTACTAGTCATCCAAAAGGAAAGATGAAATGCAACCATTTACATTGAAATGGAGGGAATTATGTAAAGAAAGTAAAAAATGACAAATACTGAATACTGAACATTTACATAATGGATGATTTGACAAAGGGAAATACAGAAGTTAGTGGACATTAATAGGGCTGTAAGGTTAAGAGGAATTGGGGCAGGATAAAGGGAAGAGGGGATCAGGTAGGGGTTGAGGGGCTCTATGATACAGGAAAAAGCCACCTAGGATGATATACAAATACCATAATGTCTTATG